GGGGGGGGCAGGGAGGCACCGTGTGCCACCATCCTGGCCACCGCACTCCAGTCCTGCCTGTGGCGGGAGGCACAAAGGGGCCTTTCATGCACCCCCGGAGCACTGGGGGGGCTGCCCCAGCACCTCCATCCCCACACCGTGCCAGGGCCAGCAGCCAGCACCCATGGGGTCTGCCCAAGGGGTTTGGGGGAACTGCACCCAGTGCTGGGTGCCCCTGACAGGGGGGTGCCACAGCGGGGAGCGGTCAGGTGTAGCCCCCCCACACGCTTGCACGCGGCACATCCGCACCCCTCCCGGCACCTCCGCCACCTGATAAGCGGCTCAAAGTCCGGCTGTACCAGCTGCCGTCACCAGGCAGGGCGGGGGGGAGTGACTGTGGGGAGCAGACCCGCACCCTTCCTGCCCCGGCCACCCACGGCACCACCTGCACCCTGCCGGCAGCACCGCCACTTCTCTGGGGTGCCCGGCTGGGGCTGGCACCGGGCATCCTGGCAGCACTGTGGGGGGGGATCTCACCCCATGGCCCCAGCAGCTGGAGCAGCACAGCAGGGTGGTGGCATGTCAGAAGCGGGGGGTCCAGCAGAAGGATGATGATGGTGAAGGCTGAAGGCTCTGGGTCAATCTTTAATGCTGTGCAGAGTCCAGGGGGGTCTGTGCCCATGGTGGAGCTTGGGGACGAGGGCTCGGGGAACCCAACCTGGGGCAGCCTGGCACTCTCAAGAGGCTCCTCACCCCAGGCAGGGTCCAGGCACAGCCACTGGTGGGCAGGGGACAGGCACTGCCACAGGGGTCCAGCGGTGACTCTGGGTAGGGGGGGACACGGGGACATGGTGGCTCAGAGGTTGCTGCTGCCCTCACCCTTGCCGGGCAGCCCGTTGAGGGGGCTCAGCGCTGGCCGGTTGCTCTCGTTCAGCCGCCGCACGCGGTAGCTCTCGTAATGGACGTTGTGGGTGATGTCCTTCAGGTCCTGCAGGTGAGACCTGCCCGGGGAGGAAGGGTGTCAAATCACTGCCCCCCAG